TCAACCGACTGAACCACCCAGGCGCCCCTCTTTTCTGTTATTTCTAATCTGTGGTTATGTTCACAATTTTAGTTATCATATGTTTCTGTTCTCAAATTTCCATTTGATGCTATTTCATGGATCCCAGTTCTCTGGTAAGATCCTGTATTTTGTCATCTATTCGTACCAAACACATTTATTACAGCGTTTTTGTTTTGTCGTGTTTTTCAACACATAGATCCAACAGCTCCGGTACCTGTTTCTATTCTGTTTTTCATCTTGATCCTGTCTCATGGTAAGACTGGTAATTTTATTACATTATGGGCATGATCTATGAAAATCCATGTAATCTCCAGGGTATTTTAGGGTCTTTTTTAAAGCTTCTTGGAGGCAGGTGGAATAGTGACAAATTTTATCACTCAAATTGGGGTTGAGCTCATTCAAGACTAAGTTTTAGTCTTAGCAACATCTAGTCTAATTAGAACTGGTTTTTCCCCTTACTTTTAGGGTACAGTTCTTCAGGGATACCAGCTTATCACTGAGGTGTCTACCAGGGCTTTGAACCCCAATTTTTATGTCCCAGGACCATGAGACTGTCAATAAATCTGCTTACCGTCTCAGCCTCTTTGTAACTGCCTTCTGCTTGGCTTTTCTACCTCTCATTGCTTAAGAATCAGTGAATGCCTGGATGAAAAATATGGCTCAGATAAAGTCACTTTTCTGCATATTGCTTCCTTTAGGGATCTTAGAATCTCAAGTTCTGAGTCCATGACTATGTTTACTTCTCAATTTCTGCTTCCCTATTGCCCATCGCTGAGCTGTTAATACCTGCGATAGTTCATATTAGTCCAAAGTGAAGTGTGACAAATAAGAGATAAACAGTGGATTTTCAGAAAGCTGAGTGAATTCAATTTAAAGGCAGGTTTTTTAAATCTAAGAGTATGCCCTGCTTTTAGATGCTAAAATGAAAAGACCCTGATTGTAATTCTTTTTTGAAAAGGCTGTGATGGTAGACCATAGCTGCGTTCTGTTTGCTCGTTGTTGTTTTTGTCCTTATTTAATGAAATAAAAAATTGACAACCTATATCAATTCCAAATATGCTTCTTGTGAAATTTTACAAGTGTCTGAAATTCAAAAGTCTGAGAACCAGATTCTGAATCCTGGCCTACAGATCTACCTCCTTCTTCAATACTGGCCCGTTCTGTTTTCTCCTTTCTCTATTGTTCTCGAAGCATAAAAGCCTCTTTTCATTTCCTGCTCCAGCATTTTTACACACGCTGCTCCCACCCTTTGAATATTTTGTTCCATATCCCTCCCCTATAAGAACCACGGGGGCAGACTTTGTGTTAGTGTCCTTCACAATTGTTAAACTCTTGCGTACGTCAAGATATAAAAAGGGTCTGGGCAGAAGATATTTGCAAATGACACATCAATGAAAGGGTGAACATCCAAAACATATAAAAACTTACACAACACTACACCAATAAAACCCAAACAATCCGGTTAAAATTGGGCAGAAGACATGAACAGACATTTCTTCATAGAAGACATCCAGATGGCCAACGGACACGTGGAAAGACGTTCAACATCACTCATCATCAGGGAAATGCAAATCAAAACCACAATAGATACCACCTCACACCTTTCAGAATGTCTAAAATCAACAACACAGGAAACAACAAGTGTTGGCAAGAATGTGGAGAAAAAGGAACACTTGTGCACTGTTGGTGGGAATGCAAACTGGTGCAGCCGCTATGGAAAACAGTGTGGAGGCTCGTCAAAAAATTGTAAAAAATGTAAAATAGAACTACCAGAGTATCTGGTAATTCCATGCTGGGTATTTACCCAAAGAAACGAAAATACTAATACTAATTTGAAAAGGTACATATGCACCCCTATGTTTACTGCAGTATTTACAATAGCCAAATTATGGAAGCAGCCCAAGTGTCCATTGAGGGATGAAGAGATAAAGAAGATTTGGTACACACACACACACACACACACACACACACACACACACACTGGAATAGTACTCATCCATCGAGAAGAATGAGATTTTTCCCATTTGGAACAGCAGGGATGGATCTAGAGGGTATGATGTTAAGTGAAATAAGTCCATCAGAGAAAGACAAATACCATTTAAGAAACAAACCAAAACTCAGACTCTTCACTATAGAGGTGACCACCAGAGGTGGATGGGGGTTGGGGGAAAATAAGTCAAGGCGATTAAGAACACACTTACCATGATGAGCACTAAGTAATGTACGGAATTGCTGAGTCCCTATACTGTATCTCTAAACTAATACAACTATATGTTAGCTAACTGGAATTTAAATAGATACGCAGACAGAAATTTTTAAAAGGGTCTGGTGCTTGGAGACAGAAAGATCAGTGGAGGATTATAGAGTGGAAAGATTTCTGAAGCGTTGAGAAATCTGTGTAATGATCCTACCTTTCACTCTGCCCCACCAAGAAAAAGAAGGGATGAGGCCTTCAATCTGCTAACCCCAAACCAAGGGGGAGAAATGTTAGGGACAGCACTTACAGAGTTCAATCTGTACCTCCGGCCGTTGGTTGGTGGCTAATCCATACCTGAGAAATTTAAGGGCAGAGAGACTGGCCGCAGCACCTGTGTACGGAGAGTAGCTGTTGCCGCACCGGCTCACTGAGCTTCGAGAATTCATTTAGCGAAGTTGGCAAGACGGTTTCTGGTGAGCCAGACGCGGGCCACGTGCGACACAGGCAGCATGGCGCTGTCTCAGGAACCTACCAAGATGGCCGCCAAGGGGTGAGGATAGACATCAACAGGAAGAAGCCTGGAGGGTGCCCAGCTGTCCAAGAGCCAAAGAAGGCACAGTATTAGCAAGACGGGGTTTTGAACACACATCTGGAGGGAACTGCTGCCAAGACAGGCCAAGGGACTGGGGGCAAAGGGGACACGGCATCTCAGAGAAATCCATCCAAGTGTTCACAACAGAAGCAGCCAGCTTCAAACACCTGCCGAAGCAGAGAGCACCGAGGCCTGCTCGCTACAGTCAAGGCAGACCTCTCCTCTCCTGTTGCTGTCCTCATCCCAAATTTCCTTTCCTGGAAGGTGCAGAAAAGACAGAAGAAACTCGGCCACCTCCCTTCCTTATCTGACGCGTTCAATGATCAGCTGGCCCCAGTTAGGAGAGACAAGATGCAAATCCACACACACGGAGATAGATCAATTACCAAAACTATATTCCCAAGTCAAGGTTATTTTTTAATTAATAAAATAATCAATGAATATGTGAGCATTTTGGTTGTATGACAATAGAATTAAAGTGGTCATTCATGGTCGTTAATATATTCCTCCAATTGTTTTTAACAAATAAAAGTACATACTTTAAAAAAAAAAAAAAAGGACAGGGGCACCTGGGTGGCTCAGTCGGTTAAGTGTCTGACTTCAGCTCAGGTCATGATCTCATGGCTCATGAGTTCGAGCCCTGCGTCGGGCTCTGTGCTGACAGCTCGGAGCCTGGAACCTGCTTCGGATTCTGTGTCTCCCACTCTCTCTGCCCTTCCCCTGCTCTCTCTCTCTCAAAAATAAATAAACATTTAAAAAAATTTTTTAAAAAAAGGACAAACACAAATAACCCCCACTCCTTTCCCATCCAAACCCCACCAGTGAATGCAAATTATTCAGACCCCCAGATTTGGAGGTCACAGAGTGGAGCCAAAGTCCTACCTTCCACACATCAGACTCTAGGCTGGAAACTTCTCCCCCAGGTGACTGAATGGCAGTGGGAAAAATCTTATCCCACACATGAGAAGTCCCTCCCTGACCCCTGCCCACAGGCCTAAGGCCCTCCTACTGCAGACCTCACCGGCATCAATACGTGCCAAACAGCACATACCCTACCATCCCTGCACAGTGCACGACGCACTCAGAGTAACAGAGCCTTCGTTTCCTCCCCACATCAACAGCACAGGGGGTTTAGGTACGCCAATCTGTCTGTGCAAGACTAATCCCTAGATTTCAGTTCTGCAACCACGCACTTAGGGTCAATGCTCTGAGCGGGAACTCGGCCTGGGGGCAGTGACACCGACAGTGCCTCCAATAGCCTTCCCCTGCTGTCCGACAGTGGACTAAGCATCCTCCTTCTCCAAGGCCACATCACAATCTCCCAATTGCCCCACTGTGTGCTGTCTCAAGAAAACTGCAGGACGTATGTGGTCACTCTTTAATATCCCATAAAACAGCAACATCAATGAAACCCTGCTTGAGCCAGACACAGGATGCTCTCTCCCTGCATTTCTGATCTATACTTTGACACTATTCAGGGAACGTCAAGTTACCCTTCTGCCTGACAATATCCCAAATCTGACGATGGCTGCCATAATCCTGGAGCCTTCCTTTGGTCTAGGACCAAGACATCAGGTTCCATCAACCTGGGGCTCTGTCTTCTCTGAGACCCGAGGTGAATTCTTGGCTGGGACTTAAACTGCCCTATGAAGGGTTACCTCAAATTGTCTCAGACGCAGTGATGACCATGGGCTTCTTACAAATTTAATGTGTTTTTTTTTAAGAAGCCAATCTTATATTTTAACACGTTATTTAATATAAGCATACCTACGGTGTGAAAACAGAACTCGCTTTACCTTTTTAATGGATGGGATGCTCAGAGAAAGTGAACAAGAAATGAATTAAAAGTGAAATAACTCAAGGGTGGCACCCAAAATACTCGAGCCATTATCCCTAATCTTGACAATGTGGGGCCAGTAACTTAACACGCCAGGCCTTCCCTCCTGCAAAGCTTAAAGCGCCTAGTGCCCCAGGCTCCTTTGAGCTGGGGGGTCTCACGTGGATGGACTATGGCCACACTCGTGAAAATGGGACCATTACTATTTAACTATGGTAACTTGAGGATAACTAATATTTACACACAGCAGATGTCACATCACCATCATAGTACCTTCCGAGGCCGGAAGCCGAGCTGTCTTGCCAGCCCCACCCTTCAAAGACCCTGACATCCCACAACCAGCCCCCACTTACCTCCCCGTCAGACACCTCCGCAGAGAGTATGATGCCCCTCCCCCACAAGTCCGGGAGCAGTCACTCCAGCTGCCCCAAGCATCCCAGTTGGTGTCTTTGTCTTCCTCGGCCCGAGCATTTCTTGAGGTCTAGAACATGAAAAAGAAAACACGATACACTGTAGACAAATATGCTAGAAATATTCCAAAGCTTCCCCAGTTTTCCCAGAGTCTTATTCTAAGCTGTTCACAGAGACCAAAGTTGCCTAAAGATGCTTTGCCTTGATGACTACATTAACACACACATACACACACACACACACACACACACACACACACACACACACACACGATAGTTTTATATGGAAACTAGTGGCATGTGAGTATTTTTCCACCTTATGAAGGTTTGGTCCAGGCAGCTTCTAAGCTCAGTTTTATTTTTTTTAACGTTTGTTTATTTTTAAAGAGAGAGAGAAAGTGTGCACGCACATGCATGCATGAGCAGGGCAGGGGCAGAGAGAGGGAGAGAGAGAGAATCTCAAGCAGCCTCCACACTCAGTACAGAGCCTGATGCAGGGCTCAATCCCATGACCGTGGGATCACGACCTGAGCTGTCATCAAGGGTCGGATGCTCCACCAACTGAGCTACCCAGGTGCCACTCTAAGCTCAGTTTTAAGTCTGAAATTTTATCATTCCAAAATTTAAATAGATTAAATCATGTTTTATAACCTACACAGCAGGGTCACACCTTGCACCTAACACTTTCTCACCACTGAAATTCTGAGTTGCCTATCCATCAGACAGACGGGCACCAGCTCCAAGGAAATGCTTCTGCACAAGGATTCGTGGACTCTCTCTCCTGAAAAGGGCTCCATCCCAAGAAAACAAAGTAAACAAAGCCTTGGGGATCCAAGAAAACAGAGAAGGGCCCATTATGAATACATTTTGGTTTAATTAGTCTTCTGAAATTGCCATCATTGACTTATATTGGAATACTCTGGAGAAAAGGGGAGAGTTGTAAGTTAAAAATATATAGACATACGTAAGTGTAGCTGTGAAAAGAAATGATGTGCAATGCTTACATAAAGTTATAAAACTTTACTAAAGGGCCTACGGTAGGCTCCACAGAATAAGCGGAGAAATGTATCATAGTCGTAAATGGATAAACTTGGTACTGTGAAATGTTAATTCTCTCCAAATTAATCTATAAATGTATAACAACTCCAATCAAAATCCCCAAGAGAACCTTCTTGGAACCCACCAAAATGATTCCAAAGTTCATCTAGTGGAATAAATGTCTATACGAGCCAAGACAAAAACTGTAAAAGAAGGGAAATTGGAGGGAAATTGCCTCAATTAAGAGTAGAGAACTGGCATAGTAATAAGCATTTGAAATCTATTAAATTAAAAAAAGGGTTGGGCGGGGGGGGGGTGAGGGAGTCCAGAAGCAGACTCAAGTAGAAGGACATAGGATGGGACCACACGTCAACGTGAAGGTATTTAAAAACAAAACAAAAACCATAGATGACTCATTCACAAAATACCCAAAAATGACTTCCAGATATATGAGAAATTTTTATTAAAAACACTCAGACTATAAAATACTAGAAATATTATAGATTAACAGTCGTATAGACTTGACGTAGGCAAGACCGTCCTAGATAGGTCAACAAAAGTAGAAACCACAAAGGAAAAGGCAGGAAGGTTTAATCACACTAAAATGCGAACACACAAGGCCTTTCCTGTCTCTTCACCTTCAGATAAAGGTGCATGTATGTGAGCACGCCCACAAAATGCATAAAGTACAAGTATACGGGCTGCAAGAAAGACAGTCACCTGCCTCTGAGAATGGAAAATGTGGGGCTAGGAGCCAATGCTGTTCACGGAAGACACAGAAGGGATGCTGACTGAATGTCTTCTATCCCCTACACCCTCATAAAAGATCTGAAGCCAATATGACAAAACCTTACATCTGATGAAGCCACGTAGTGTTATAACAGATATTAGCTGTATCTGAACTTGCAATTTTTTTTGAAATACCTTTTTAAAAAAAAAAATTTTTGGGGCGCCTGGGTGGCGCAGTCGGTTAAGCGTCCGACTTCAGCCAGGTCACGATCTCGCGGTCCGTGAGTTCGAGCCCCGCGTCGGGCTCTGGGCTGATGGCTCAGAGCCTGGAGCCTGTTTCCGATTCTGTGTCTCCCTCTCTCTCTGCCCCTCCCCCGTTCATGCTCTGTCTCTCTCTGTCCCAAAAATAATTAAACGTTGAAAAAAAAAATAAATAAAAAAAATAAAAAAATAAAAAAAAAAATTTTTTTTTAATGGAGGGGGTAAAAGATAATCCTCAGAGCACAGTATAAGTCTCTGTCACTCTTCATACAGGTAACCAGGTACCTGCATTAAGAAAGAAGTGAGTTAATTAAAATGTTCGCCGTGGCTACTTCCGGGATCAAGGACTCTGGAGGATTTTATCCTCTTTTGTTTTTCTTTCTCTGCATTTTGCAAACAAAAAAACAAAAAAAAAATTTTTTTTTAAGCAAACACTTTCAAACTTGAATTAAATGCAGGCAGTCAAACGAACAAAGAACACATCCTGCTGACAGGCAGAAAAGTTCAAGTCAGGGGGAATTTAACAGGGAAGCCCTAAGTCACAGTCAATGAACACTTATGAAGGCAACCCTAATGCTAATAAACCACAGCGTACAGCTGAACGAGACACTGCCCAGGCTTCCTCAAGCCCTTAGGCCACATGACCTCATCCAACCAGAAAAAAATTTTTTTTAAATTAAGAGGGGGATCTGTAGAAAGGACTTTCAAAACTGAAATGAAATAATGAAGCAAGGTGGGGGGAGGGGTTCCCAATAACTTCCACCCAAGACTCACCAGTCAGTGGATTTCATGGCTTTCTGCCAAGCTACCTATTTATAGCACAGCAAGAAGCCCTACTAGAGGCAAATATTTCAGGAACAGTCAAGTGAAAGGAAAGGATATATATCTGGCAACTGATCAAATCTGTCATCACGAATAAGGGCTAATTAAACCCATACTATTTACTGTTCTAATTAGATCACTGTTCAGTTCAATTTTCTACACTAAACGTCACCAAATGGAGCTGTGTCCTGTCTGTAACATAACATAAAATAAAGTTTTAATTCATAAAAAACACAGTCAGTTTAATGCATTCATCTGGACGTTTAGGTCGGTGAGTCCAAACCATTTAGGCAAGCGTTTAAAATACACACAGCTGAAATTGATTTTTCATTTTGTCACTCGATCTACCGATAGGTTGAATGTGAGAAGTTGAAAAACATCATCATATATATTTTTAAATGAAAGTTGAGAGTTCTTTGCAATATTGTTTTAATTTGTTTTTATTCCCACCATCCCATCTGTTCGGTTTATAGTTAGAGTCCGGTTTGTTTCCATAACTTCTCCACCTTTACTTACAAGAAAAAAAAAAAATCTGGATTCTAGAATAACTAAAATAGACATGTTATAAATGCAGGCATTTGGTTTCTCTGGTTGGGTAAGAGATTTTCCCCCTAAGAAAACAGAAAATCACATGTCAAGAGGGGTCCTTGAGTTTTTCTCCTGTCCTTGACTGTGAAGATGAAGTTGGGATTTTGCCCTGAAACCCCAGCGCCCAGCCAGCTAGCCAGTCTTCCCTGTTCTGACCCAGACAGCAGCAAGAGCATCCCTATTTCTACCTGGATCCCGCCGCTCCCCACTGATGCTGGGAGCATGAAGACAGCACAAACGTTCGGAAAAAAGCCCTGTTGTGGAAGGACAAAGGCCACCTGGGTCCTTCCTGGACATTTGCGTCCGTGTGTTCGTCCTCACAGCAACACCGAACCTCTTTCCTGGACCCCATGGCCTCCCAGAGCAGGGGACAGCGGGCCCCCACCCACCTCCACACAACAGCCCTCCCCAAGTGTTCTCAAGCCATCTCGTGCCTTCAACCACCCCAGCTCTTCCGTCGATATTTTCTCTGCACACACTTATGTTTGTACATTTTCAGTCTTAAAATGCAGAGTCCAGAATACAGCACTGTATCTGAAAATCACACAGACTAAGCACTGCCCCACTCTCCAGCTTTCTTCCAGTAAAATCTGAGTTCCTTCCTTCCTTCCTTCCTTTCCTCCCCTCTTCCTTCATTTCTTCCCTCCCTCCCTTCCTCCTTCCTTCCCTCCTCTTTCCTTCTTTTTCCTTCCTTTCCTCCCTTCATTCCTTCCTTCCTTTCTTCCTTCTTCTTCCTTCCTTCCCTCCCTCCTTCCTTCCTTCTTCAGTCACA